TAGAGATTGTGATGAAGAAGTTGACGAGATGAAATGTCGGTGAATTGTTGTTCAGGGGAGGAAGGGAAATATTTTTAGACAAGTGAAATGAATCGTCACTCAAACTGTCACTAGCAGAGTGATGACCCTTGAGGTTATTCACCTGAATCGATAACTTGGAGTTACTTTTGTCAAGGTATCTCGGCAGACAGGAAGTAGTCCAATTGATTAATGTCATGCGCAGAAAAAGTGGATCTAGCACCGCAAATGTGTATACACAAAGTGAGTTACGGACAGACCGAATTTTTTTTTGGGCTCAGGTTGTGGTAGTGGTTAGCTAAGTTAGGGTTGTGTTATTGGTGGGCCTAGGTTAGGGTTGTTCATGGTTGGGGGGGGGGGGGGGTTGTTCATGGTTGGCTAGGTTAGGGTTGTTCATGGTTTGCCTAGGTTAGGGTTGTGTTCTTGGTTGGCCAAAGTTAGGGTTGTTCATGGTTGGCCTAGGTTAGGGTTGTGTTATTGGTTGGCCTAGGTTAGGGTTGTGTTCTTGGTTGGCCAAAGTTAGGGTTGTTCATGGTTGGCCTAGGTTAGGGTTGTGTTATTGGTTGGCCTAGGTTAGGGTTGTGTTCTTGGTTGGCCAAAGTTAGGGTTGTTCATGGTTGGCCTAGGTTAGGGTTGTGTTCATGGTTGGCCTAGGTTAGGGTTGTGTTATTGGTTGGCCTAGGTTAGGTTGTTCGTGGTTGGCCTAGGTTAGGGTTGTTCATGGTTTGCCTAGGTTAGGGTTGTGTTATTGGTTGGCCTAGGTTAGGGTTGTTCGTGGTTGGCCTAGGTTAGGGTTGTCTTCATGGATGGCGTAAGTTAGGGTTGTGTTCATGGTTGGCCTAGGTTAGGGTTGTGTTCATGGTTGGCCTAGGCTATGGTTGTGTTCTAGGTTGGCCTAGGTTATGGTTGTGTTCATGGTTGGCCTAGGTTAGGGTTGTGTTCATGGTTGACCTAGGTTAGGGTTGTGTTCATGGTTGGCCTAGGCTATGGTTGTGTTCTAGGTTGGTCTAGGTTAGGGTTGTTCATGGTTGGCCTAGGTTAGGGTTGTGTTCGTGGTTGACCTAGGTTATGCTTTTATTCAAGCTTAGTTCAAGTTGTGCCTGTTCTCATGGCTGGAATTACTAAAACCAATCAGATATTGGTTGACCAGTCACAGAATTGGTTGACCAATCAGATATTGGTTGACCAGTGACAGAATTGGTTGATTTGTTTTCTGCTAAACTTGCCACCAGAGTTTCTTCCAGGCATCTCTTCGGGGGGGGGGGAGGGGGGCAAAGCCCCACCGGACATTTTTTACCCCCCCCCCCCCTGAACGAAATGAAATTTATATAATTTATATAGAAAATATATACTTTTAACAGTGACCGCCCCCCGCCCCCGAAGAAAGTTTACCGCTCCCCCCCCCCCCCCCGAAAATTTCAAGTGCCCCCCCTCCCCCACCCGGAGAAAAAAGTCTGGAAGAAACACTGCTTGCCACCACGTTTATAGCCAGTCTTTTTGCATGCTGGCCATATCTGTGTTACAGACAAAACTTTTAGGTCCAGATTACCTCCCTGTCTTACCTAAAGTTTCCTGTAACGATATCGTTGTTTTTCTGACGACCTCCTACAGCTGATAGTTTAGATGACGCAATCATGTACATTCTGCAAGACGTTTTTATCAAACAAGACACCGTGAACCACCATCATGTTCTGTGACGTCATACATCATGGTAGCTCTTTAGTGACGTCATTCAACCGCACGTTCTGATAAAGACGTTACGCACGACGGTTTAGTGACACGCTGATAACCCCGGTGACTATTTAGTGACGTCACGTCCGGGCGACGAGGTTTCGGTTTATGAAGTGAGTGTTCCGGCAGACGGCAGGAACTGGCACCGTCAGGCGCAGCCCGTCAAGACTTATGAATGGTCGGCTGCTGGCTGGGCTGGTTTTTGGCTACTGCTGTACGATGTTTGTGTGCGGGTAACGGGCAGGTACACCTCTTGTCATTTTGTGAGCACCTTGCTGGGATAAAACTTATGGAATTTTCGGAGAATTTTACTCAGAATGTAATTTTTAAAAATATAAATAGATACAATTTGTCCTTTTTTTTGTTTAATATATCTCTTCCAGTCTTTCTTCCAGACTTTTTTCTCCGAAGGGAGTGGGGTGACGACACTGTTAAAAGTGTATATAAGACGACTTTCTTCGCCCCCCCCCCCGAAGAGATGACTGAAAGAAACTCTAGTCCCTTTCCTTAACCTGGTTTAAAAAAAATTGTAATTGTTTAAAATCTTAAAAATAGTGATAATAGTGTGTGGTGTGGGTGTGTAATGTGCGTGGGTTGGTGGCATGGGTTGGTGGTGTGGGTTGGTGGTGTGGGTTGGTGGTGTGGGTTGGTGGTGTGGGTGTGTAATGTGCGTGGGTTGGTGGCATGGGTTGGTGGTGTGGGTTGGTGGTGTGGGTTGGTGGTGTGGGTTGGTGGTGTGGGTGTGTAATGTGCGTGGGTTGGTCGCGTGTGTTGGTGGCGTGGTTTGGTGGTGTGGGTTGGTGGTGTGGGTTGGTGGTGTGGGTTGGTGGTGTGGGTGTGTAATGTGCGTGGGTTGGTCGCGTGTGTTGGTGACGTGGGTTGGTGACGTGGGTTGGTGACGTGGGTTGGTGACGTGGGTTGGTGACGTGGGTTGGTGACGTGGGTTGGTGACGTGGGTTGGTGGCATGGGTTGGTGACGTGGGTTGGTGACGTGGGTTGGTGGCATGGGTTGGTGACGTGGGTTGGTGACGTGGGTTGGTGGCATGGGTTGGTGACGTGGGTTGGTGACGTGGGTTGGTGACGTGGGTTGGTGACGTGGGTTGGTGGCATGGGTTGGTGACGTGGGTTGGTGACGTGGGTTGGTGGCATGGGTTGGTGACGTGGGTTGGTGACGTGGGTTGGTGACGTGGGTTGGTGGCATGGGTTGGTGACGTGGGTTGGTGACGTGGGTTGGTGGCATGGGTTGGTCGCGTGGGTTGGTGGCGTGGGTTGGTGGTGTGGGTTGGTGGCATGGGTTGGTGGCGTGGGTTGGTGGCGTGGGTTGGTGACGTGGGTTGGTGGCATGGGTTGGTGACGTGGGTTGGTGACGTGGGTTGGTGGCATGGGTTGGTCGCGTGGGTTGGTGGCGTGGGTTGGTGGCGTGGGTTGGTGGCATGGGTTGGTGGCGTGGGTTGGTGGCGTGGGTTGGTGACGTGGGTTGGTGGCGTGGGTTGGTGGCGTGGGTTGGTGGTGTGGGTTGGTGGCGTGGTTTGGTGGTGTGGATTGGTGGTGTGGGTTGGTGGTGTGGGTTGGTGGTGTGGGTTGGTAGCGTGGGTTGGTGGCATGGGTTGGTAGCGTGGGTCTGTGGCATGGGTTGGTGGCGTGGGTTGGTGGCGTGGGTTGGTAGCGTGGGTTGGTAGCGTGGGTTGGTGGCATGGGTTGGTAGCGTGGGTCTGTGGCATGGGTTGGTGGCGTGGGTTGGTGGCATGGGTTGGTGGCGTGGGTTGGTAGCGTGGGTTGGTGGCATGGGTTGGTAGCGTGGGTCTGTGGCATGGGTTGGTAGCGTGGGTTGGTGACGTGAGTTGGTGGTGTGGGTTGGTAGCGTGGGTTGGTGGTATGGGTTGGTGGCGTGAGTTAGTAGTGTGGGTTGGTCACGTGGGTTGGTGGTGTGGGTTGGTGACATGGGTTGGTGGCGTGAGTTAGTAGCGTGGGTTGGTGGCGTGGGTTGGTAGCGTGGGTTGGTGGTGTGGGTTGGTGGTGTGGGTTGGTGGCGTGGGTTGGTAGCGTGGGTTGGTGGCATGGGTTGGTGGCATCCTTTTTAAATCGTTCAATCGCCCACTCGATATAACAAACAGCAAGGCATAAAACCGTATGCGTGTGGGACGTGTCCATTCAAATAGCACCACTCGCTACACTACACACATGCCACACATCCAAGTTGTCTTGTGTAATACGGCATTATTGTGTGCGACTTGCGTAATTTGTATCGACCCTCGCAGCAATTAAGATAAGCAATTAATGACCATTGTACCATATCACCCGAGCAAGTAATGACCTTGGCATTAATTAAGATAAGCATCTATCGCTCACTGCAGCAGTTAAGTAAATAGTCAGAGATCTTTCTAGTGGGATCTAACCTGATCAGACATGAAATGTGTGGGTGTGTGGGGGGAGGGTGTGTGAAGGTGAGTGTGGGAGGGCGAGAGGGCGGTTATTGTCCAGGTGTATCCCCTCTCCCCCCCCCCCCCCCCTGCACACCCAGAAAACTCTGCTCATAACGAAAAATTTCAAGACCTGTTTTTCTTTCATGGAACTAAGCCCACAAAATGTATTTTATTTATAAAAGTTTATAAAATTCTAATGTCTATATTCATTTTGACAATGTTCTGCACGGGCGTACAAAATATTTTATTACCCGTTGGTTCCAACCCCACGTGACCTAGCAGAATGTCACCGTGGTCATTTCCGGTCATCTTGCAAGCTGCAGTCGTAGTTCATTTGGTCGCACTCACACTATTCATGCATTACCCTCACACTATTCATGCCTTAACCTCACATGGGGTCAGTGGGGTGGGGGTGGAAGTGGGGGGGGGGGGGGAGTCTGATGCTTAACGACAACTTAAGTTTGAAGCTACAACAGCACAAACCGCCATCAGATAATACAAGATTTTTTTATAAAATTGCTACAGCGTTTCTCTGGCATTTAATTTCTCCGTCCCTCCCACGTGACTGTGTGAGCCCCGGGTCCGCGTTGTTTTCTCCGACCCCGGGGAAATTGGCTCGGTCGAGTGAAATGGCGCTGAGAGCTGGCCACCCCCCTCGAGACGCCCTGCCGTGGGCAGGCCCCGGGCCTACCCCCCTCACCCCCACAACCACCGCTCACCAGTATGCAATATTACGTCCCCCCGGGACTACGGGTCGTGCTTCATTATTGATATCCCACGTGACGTCACGCTTCGTATATTTAACGGTGGGCCGGGGCCTGTCCCCTAATTCATTTCACCACGAACGGTAACTCTTGTCATCAGCAGTTGCTGTTCTTGAGGAGCCTCGCTCTGGAGCCGGCAGACGAGAGCTATTATTAACTTTGCGTGGAACAAGGTGGCGATTCCAGTGCGTTGACTATTGGTTATATTGACATACAGACAACTAGCGAGAACTAGTTGGGCACTTCTTCATTCGACTCACACATTTCTATATTTGGATTTAGGTACAAAAAAATTAACAAAATTTTTTTCGGGCAGTCTTCTAAAAAAAACTTTTAAATTCTAAAGTAAAAATTTCAGAAATTTCGTTTTAAATTGAATTTTTTTGCCTTGTTGATCCAATTAAATTAAATTTATAAAAAGCAACAATTGCTCAGTGATTGGGCTGAATCTTGTAAAAATAGTGAGTTGATCCTGGCATCTGGTTGGTATCTTAGTCACGTGACAGTCATCAGTTCCTTTGTGGCTGAGTGTTTGTGACACTGGTCAGATTTCGTGCGCAGGGACCAAGGCAGCCTCACGCCATACAGGGCCACAAGTAAGTTGATTTTTTTTTCACAAGTAAGTTGATTTTACAAAAGTAAGTTGATTTTTTTCACAACTAAGTTGATTTTTTTCACAATCAAGTTGATTTTACAAAAGTAATTTGATTTTTTTCACAACTAAGTTGATGATACAAAATTAAGTTGATTTTTTCACAATTTAGTTGATTTTACAAAACTAAGATGATTTTTTTCACAAGTAAGTTGATTTCTTTTCACAATTAAGTTGCTTTGTCCCAAGTAAGTTGATTTTTCTATCAGATTTTTCAATTTCAGAGTTGTTTTAATTTGGGATTTTACAATTGACTTGACGAAGCTCGTAACTAACTGTGATTTTATAATTGACTTAACATAGCATTGTTTAATATGTTCAGGCTCAGCTTGTACAAATTAGATAACACACAATACCAACGGTTTCAAAAGTTGGAGGGTGTAAAATATCAATGTTTCAAAAATTAGGTTCTACAAAATACCAATGGTTTCAAAAATTAGGTTCTTCAAAATACCAATGGTTTCAACATTTAGAGGATGTAAAATACCAATACTTAAAAAAAAAACATTTAGATTACACAAGATACCAGTGGATTAAAAAATGAAAAATATTCAAATAGTGATAGTTTTGTTTACGAATTCATTGTTATTAAATGATGACATAAACAAACACAACATGTAATTTTTCTCTGTATAAAAACCTTAACTTAATGGCCCATAGTTTGAAAATTTTGTCTCAATTAAAGCGTTTCTATTTTTCTCCATGGTTAATTAAGTGCTTAATCAACGTGAAGGAAAAACCCTTTTTTTTCTCGTAACTTTCCAGAAATATCACGAAAATTAACTTTTTTATACAATAAAATTATATCCTGCAAAAAGCTTCACTAATAGCAAACAGTATTAGATATTAAAGATGATTATTTAGACGTTACATTTCTGAAGTGGTGAAATTTAACAGGTTAACACTTTTATTTTCTGAAACTTAAACAAATGACAACAAATGTAGCTTCTCATTTAATAAAGAAACTTTGCTGACCACTCTATGAGGCTAGAGTTAGATTATGATCACTCTTTCAATGTAGAGTTAGAGACTGACCACTCTAAGAAGGTAGAGTTAGAGACTGACCACTCTATGAAGGTAGAGACTGACCACTCTATGAAGGTAGAGTTAGAGACTGACCACTCTAAGAAGGTAGAGTTAGACACTGATCACTCTATGAAGGTAGAGTTAGAGACTGACCACTCTATGAAGGTAGAGTTAGAGACTGACCACTCTATGAAGGTAGAGGCTGACCACTCTATGAAGGTAGAGTTAGAGACTAACCACTCTATGAAGGTAGAGACTGACCACTCTATGAAGGTAGAGGCTGACCACTCTATGAAGGTAGAGTTAGAGGCTGACCACTCTATAAAGTTAGAGTTAGAGACTGACCACTCTATGAAGGTAAAGACTGACCATTCATTGAAGGTAGAGTTAGAGACCGATCTGTGCCAACCAAACAAGAGCATGTTTGTAGGATAAAATTAGCACTTTATTTAATCTTGGTATAGAGGTCTAAGAATTGTTTACTCGTCTAGTTTTTTTGTACTTTTACATTTTTAGCCGTCGTTAAGTTGAGCAATCCGTTTTTTGGTGGTTTGTGGTATGTGTGGCTTCTGGTGTGTTTGGCCCATTAGGGGTAGAATATGGAGCAGCTTGTTTCTGATTTTTTAAATATCTAAGTGGTCTGTGTTATACCTTCTTTAGGTGGGTATTTGGTCTAGTTGGTTAGTGTCTTGTATCTGGTCTGTGTTATACTTGCTTTAGGTAGGTATTTGGTCTAGTTGGTTAGTGTCTTGTATCTGGTCTGTGTTATACCTTTAGGTGGGTATTTGGTCTAGTTGGTTAGTGTCTTGTATCTGGTCTGTTGGTCTAGTTGGTTAGTGTCTTGTATCTGGTCTGTGTTATACCTGCTTTAGATGGGTATTTGGTGTAGTTGGTTAGTGTCTTGTATCTGGTCTGTGTTATACTTGCTTTAGGTGGGTATTTGGTCTAGTTGGTTAGTGTCTTGTATCTGGTCTGTGTTATACTTGCTTTAGGTGGGTATTTGGTCTAGTTGGTTAGTGTCTTGTATCTGGTCTGTGTTAGACCTGATTTAGATGGGTATTTGGTCTAGTTGGTTAGTGTCTTGTATCTGGTCTGTGTTATACCTGATTTAGATGGGTATTTGGTCTAGTTGGTTAGTGTCTTGTATCTGGTCTGTTGGTCTAGTTGGTTAGTGCCTTGTTTCTGGTATGTGTGATACCTTTAGGTGGGTATTTGGTCTAGTTGGTTAGTGTCTTGTATCTGGTCTGTGTTAGACCTGATTTAGATGGGTATTTGGTCTAGTTGGTTAGTGTCTTGTATCTGGTCTGTGTTAGACCTGATTTAGATGGGCATTTGGTCTAGTTGGTTAGTGTCTTGTATCTGGTCTGTTGGTCTAGTTGGTTAGTGTCTTGTATCTGGTCTGTGTTATACCTGATTTAGATGGGTATTTGGTCTAGTTGGTTAGTGTCTTGTATCTGGTCTGTGTTATACCTTCTTTAGGAGGGTATTTGGTCTAGTTGGTTAGTGTCTTGTATCTGGTCTGTGTTATACCTGATTTAGATGGGTATTTGGTCTAGTTGGTTAGTGTCTTGTATCTGGTCTGTGTTATACCTTTAGGAGGGTATTTGGTCTAGTTGGTTAGTGTCTTGTATCTGGTCTGTGTTATACCTGCTTTAGATGGGTATTTGGTCTAGTTGGTTGGTGTCTTGTATCTGGTCTGTGTTATACCTTTAGGTGGGTATTTGGTCAAGTTGGTTAGTGTCTTGTATCTGGTCTGTGTTATACCTTCTTTAGGAGGGTATTTGGTCTAGTTGGTTAGTGTCTTGTATCTGGTCTGTGTTATACCTTCTTTAGGAGGGTATTTGGTCTAGTTGGTTGGTGTCTTGTATCTGGTCTGTGTTATACCTTTAGGTGGGTATTTGGTCTAGTTGGTTAGTGTCTTGTATCTGGTCTGTGTTATACCTTCTTTAGGAGGGTATTTGGTCTAGTTGGTTAGTGTCTTGTATCTGGTCTGTGTTATACCTGCTTTAGATGGGTATTTGGTCTAGTTGGTTGGTGTCTTGTATCTGGTCTGTGTTATACCTTTAGGTGGGTATTTGGTCTAGTTGGTTAGTGTCTTGTATCTGGTCTGTGTTATACCTTCTTTAGGAGGGTATTTGGTTTAGTTGGTTAGTGTCTTGTATCTGGTCTGTGTTATACCTTTAGGAGGGTATTTGGTCTAGTTGGTTAGTGTCTTGTATCTGGTCTGTGTTATACCTTTAGGTGGGTATTTGGTCTAGTTGGTTAGTGTCTTGTATCTGGTCTGTGTTATACCTTCCTTAGGTGGGTATTTGGTCTAGTTGGTTAGTGTCTTGTATCTGGTCTGTGTTATACCTTCCTTAGGTGGGTATTTGGTCTAGTTGGTTAGTGTCTTGTATCTGGTCTGTGTTATACCTGATTTAGATGGGTATTTGGGCTAGTTGGTTAGTGTCTTGTATCTGGTCTGTGTTATACTTTCTTTAGGTAGGTATTTGGTCTAGTTGGTTAGTGTCTTGTATCTGGTCTGTGTTATACCTTTAGGTGGGTATTTGGTCTAGTTGGTTAGTGTCTTGTATCTGGTCTGTGTTATACCTTTAGGTGGGTATTTGGTCTAGTTGGTTAGTGTCTTGTATCTGGTCTGTTGGTCTAGTTGGTTAGTGTCTTGTATCTGGTCTGTTGGTCTAGTTGGTTAGTGTCTTGTATCTGGTCTGTGTTATACCTTTAGGAGGGTATTTGGTCTAGTTGGTTAGTGTCTTGTATCTGTTTGGTCTAGATGGTTAGTGTCTTGTATCTGGTATGTGTGATACCTTTAGGTAGGTATTTGGTCTAGATGGTTAGTGTCTTGTATCTGGTATGTGTGATACCTTTAGGTAGGTATTTGGTCTAGTTGGTTAGTGTCTTGTATCTGGTCTGTTGGTCTAGTTGGTTAGTGTCTTGTATCTGGTCTGTTGGTCTAGTTGGTTAGTGTCTTGTATCTGGTATGTGTGATACCTTTAGGTAGGTATTTGGTCTAGATGGTTAGTGTCTTGTATCTGGTCTGTTGGTCTAGATGGTTAGTGTCTTGTATCTGGTATGTGTGATACCTTTAGGTGGGTATTTGGTCTAGTTGGTTAGTGTCTTGTATCTGGTCTGTGTTATACCTGATTTAGATGGGTATTTGGTCTAGTTGGTTAGTGTCTTGTATCTGGTCTGTGTTATACCTGATTTAGATGGGTATTTGGTCTAGTTGGTTAGTGTCTTGTATCTGGTCTGTTGGTCTAGTTGGTTAGTGTCTTGTATCTGGTCTGTTGGTCTAGTTGGTTAGTGTCTTGTATCTGGTCTGTGTTATACCTTTAGGAGGGTATTTGGTCTAGTTGGTTAGTGTCTTGTATCTGGTATGTGTGATACCTTTAGGTAGGTATTTGGTCTAGATGGTTAGTGTCTTGTATCTGGTATGTGTGATACCTTTAGGTAGGTATTTGGTCTAGATGGTTAGTGTCTTGTATCTGGTATGTGTGATACCTTTAGGTAGGTATTTGGTCTAGTTGGTTAGTGTCTTGTATCTGGTCTGTGTTATACCTGATTTAGATGGGTATTTGGTCTAGTTGGTTAGTGTCTTGTATCTGGTCTGTGTTATACCTGATTTAGATGGGTATTTGGTCTAGTTGGTTAGTGTCTTGTATCTGGTCTGTTGGTCTAGTTGGTTAGTGTCTTGTATCTGGTCTGTTGGTCTAGTTGGTTAGTGTCTTGTATCTGGTCTGTTGGTCTAGTTGGTTGGTGTCTTGTATCTGGTCTGTTGGTCTAGTTGGTTGGTGTCTTGTATCTGGTCTGTTGGTCTAGTTGGTTGGTGTCTTGTGTAGACGGTGTTGTGTACGGGCATATATGGTGTTTGGTACAGATTGTTCATGTTATTTTGTACAGGTAGTGTTGGGTTTAGGTGTT